CCTTGGGGAGTCAGAAAGCTGAAAACAGCATGTCAGATTTCATTTTGAAAAGCAAGAATGGGAAGCTTTTTTATTAAGGGATAATTGTCCCTGGGGGAAGACTGTTAAGGGCTATAAACACAGTACCCCCTATTCCATTTCTTCATTGCCATCTGGAACTGACTAGTGGATAAAACACCAGTAATAGAATTTTCTCACACTGTCTACAGCATACATAAGGGCTCAGATGACATTGATGCTAATAACAGTGGCCACTGGATACAGAGGCGTGAATCATTATTATTCTCATATACCAGGGCAGTGTGGTACTGGTGCTTGGCTGCTTGTTCTTGCTAAGGCTCCATTCTTGCAGTTAAGAACATTAAGAAACGACGACAGTGCTCCTAATCAGAGGAACGAAGCCTACATATGTACACTTTGCATAAGGGGCAATGTGCCAATGCGAGGCAAACACATATAGCAGAGGGTGGGCCAGTGCATTAACTTTTGCTTCCCCTCCATGTACCGTGGCTCTGTATATAAGTATGTTGTCTGTCTGTCTCTCTATCTATTGGGCTCCTGCCTTTTTTGGATGGCTAAAAGACCGTAACAGTGAGGTCAGTGCTAAGAGACTGTCTATGGAAAGTACTGCCTAGGCTGGGCACCATCACTACAGAGTCTACCACTTGGTCCTTAGTCTACCACTTGGATGGGGTTAGGATTCTGCCCCCGTAGCATACCGCTCCACCTAACTCCCCTATCTCCACTAACAAAAGATGTTCAGACGAATGATTCCCACTTAACAATATGACTGCCACTTCTGAACCAGCTGAAGATTCCAAATAAGTTCTCAAAGACTTCAAAGACATACACTTTGCTGTAGTAGTCATTGTAGCAGGACATAAGAACATAAGAGACGCCAATGTTGCATCAGGCCAAAGGCCCATCCAGTCCAAAACCCTGTGTCACACAGTGGCCAGAAATACCAGGTGCCATCAGGAGGTCCACCAGTGGGGCCAGGACATTAGAAGCCCTCCCACTGTTGACCCCCCCCATGCACCAAGAAGACAGAGCATCACTTGCCCCAGAGATGTAATACAGGCTTGTATCTAAAGCATGCTTCAGAATACATCACATACAGTCTCCCGAGGAGAATCCACCATCACATTGTTAGTCTCTCTAAAAATAATAATAATACTATTCTCATAATTGAAAGAAAACCAGCGTCCTATGTTTTTCATCATGCACGGCTGTAATAACCCCTTGTATTGCCTACTCCTTTCTATTTATTGTCATTAAGACCACTAAGTAAGCTATTTTATAATAAGGCAACGGAAACAGCATCATATTGCAGGTTTTTCAACCCCCAATATTTCCCACAACCTTACCAAAAGGCAACAATACTATCATGCAGCATTCAACTCTTTGGAAAAAACTATAGTACGCATGCAGCCTCAGAAAGGAACTATTCACGTGCATTGGTAGATAGGCAACAGCATCCTGCTTTCCTCCACACCACCAGCTGCGGAGAGGGCTACCGCTTATGAAGTAATGTTCAGTGCCTGTGATTCACTGACTGAGTGTTGTCAAAACTGCAGTTTGGTGAAAACACAGTCCTTCAAATGGAATACCACTACATGTAAGACCTGTACATATTAACAAAACAATTAACAGATAAAAGGAAGTACTTCTTCACCCAAAGAGTGATTAACACATGGAATTCACAGCCACAGGAGGTGGCGGTGGCTACAAGCATGGACAGCTTCAAGAGGGAACTGGATAAACATATAGAGCAGAGGTCCATCAGTGGCTATTAGCCACAAGGTCTAGATAGGAACTCACAGGCTGGGGCAAGGGATGCACTGTATTCTTGGTGCTGGGGGGGGGGGGCGGGGGGAGGGCTTCTAATGTCCTGGCCCCACTGATGGACCTCCTGATGGCACCTGGTGTTTTTGGCCACTGTGTGGCAGAGTGTTGGACTAGATGGGCCATTGGCCTGTTCCAACATTGGCTTCTCTTATGTTCTTAATTTCCTATCTCTTATATTCTAAAACACTTTAAATGTAGCAGTCTACATTGTTCAGGCTAGAGCATTTTATAGCCAGCAGTAGGATGTTGGGAAAGATTGAAGGTCAAAGGAGACGGGGACGGCAAAGGATGAGATGGTTAGACAGTGTCATAGATGCAATGAACATGAAATTGAGCGAACTTCAGAGAACAGCAGAAGACAGGAGGGCCTGGCGTGACCTGGTCCATGGGGTCGCGAAGAGTCGGACTCGACTGTGCGACTGAACAACAAGGATTGCTGACTCCTGCTTTAGAGACAGTCCCCATCTTTAAATAACCAAGCACGTTATTTACTTAGAAAACATCTATGACACCATTCCAAAGACCTGCTTGAGGTTTTTCATGTGATCAAAATAATTAAAAAAATAAAACCATTAAAATTTACAAACTATTCAAAACCTGCCAGAGTATAAAAACTGAATACAATACTTGGCAACATAAAATGGCCCTTGTAACAGTACTCAAGGAGCTGTGGTGGCTCGAGTGGTTAAGACGCTCACCTGCAGGCTGTGGAAGGTCAGTAGTTCAGCAGTTCAAGACCCGAGTTGCTGCATGACGGAGTGAGCTCCTGTCTCTAGTTCCAGCTCCTGCCAACCTAGCAGTTCGAAAGCAAGAAATTCCCCCACCGCTTTGGTGGGGGAAAGGTAACAGCGTTCCGTGCGCCTTGGTAGTCATGCCGGCCACATGACCACGGAAACGTCTTCCGACAGCGCTGGCTCTTCGACTTTGAAACGGAGATGAGCACTGCAACCCTAGAGTCGGACTCGACTGGCTTTCGAGCAAGGGGAACCTTTACCTTTTTAACAGTGCTCAAGCTAGAAACACAATGTAAAAATTATTTTAAAAGATTAAACCCCCAGCTGAAATGCTGGGTAAAAAGAAATGTTTTGGCCTGGCTGTAAGCACAGACACAGAGAATAAGGCTTGGTACTTGTAGGCTGGACAGTACAGGATGAAGCAGTCCTTTAAGTACACTGGCTGCAAGCCATTTAAGGCCTTAAAGGTAAGAACCACCTCTATGAATTGTGTCTGGAGAGAGTCAGGGCGCCAGTGCAGATCTTTCAGCATGGATGTGATACGATCTCTGCATCCAGTCCCCAACAACAGTGCATATATCTATAATTAAAATAAAGCCTGAACACATTTCGCTATACTTTCTCATATTCATCCATTCCTTGTTACAGTTGCCTTTCCTGCTTTCCTTTGTCTTGCGTGTGTAAAGTGCTGGTGAGTCACAGCTGACTTAAGGTAACCCCAGCAAGGGGCTTTCAAGGCAAGAGAGAAGCAGAGGTGGTTGGCCATTGTCTTCTTCTGCAGACTCTTCCTTGGTGGTCTTCCTTTCAAATACCAACCCAGTTTAGCTTCCAAGATTTCACACCATCGGGTTTTATCATACCAGCTTCCCTTCCTTCCTTTGACTTACTCTGTATCACAATTTAGGGCCAAACTACATGAGATGACTTGTTTTTCGTGAAGCCGCACGGTAGCCCTGGGGAACTTACTAATCCAAGTGCTGCAGGGCCTAAAGGTAAAGGTTCCCTTGCTCGAAAGCCAGTCGAATCCGACTCTAGGGTTGCAGTGCTCATCTCCGTTTCAAAGCCGAAGAGCCAGCGCTGTCCGAAGACATTTCCGTGGTCATGTGGCCGGCATGACTAAACACCAAGGCGCACGGAACGCTGTTTCCTTCCCACCGAAGTGGTACCTATTTATCTACTTGCAATTTCTTGCTTTCAAACTGCTAGGTTGGCAGGAGCTGGAACTAGAGACAGGAGCTCACCCCGTCTTGCGGCACCCGGGTCTCGAACTGCTGAACTACTGACCTTCCACAGCCTGCAGTTCAGCGTCTTAACCACTTGAGCCACCGCAGCTCTGCTGCAGGGCAAAACTAGAAAAGAGCCTGCTTCTAATAGCAAGCTGGAATGAGCAAATAGGAATCTGCAGTACTGTTTGGGAGAAGATTACTGCGTGCTACTTTATTACCTTTGAGCCACCAGGAAAGGAAGAATATAAATATTTTAAAGAACTAAAAAACACCCTGTAGTTTAATGAATTATTAAATACTCAGAGAACCTCATCATCTAGGAGCCCCAGACAGAGTAAGACTTTTTCTGTCTCATTTGAATGTCCTCTGGGATTGGTAAAACCAGTGAAGGGACTACAGAGTGCCGAATTTAAAGAGACGGGGGGAGGGGGAATTCTACTCAGCCATAAAGCTCATTGGAAAGTTTTTGGAACATCTCTCTCAACCAAGATACATCAGACATCACAAGAGACAGAGTTACCGCCGTTCCATCTCTGCAGCAATGATGGGAGGCAGGGATAAAACATGTTGCTCACGGTTTGCTTAAGAAGTGACCCAAAAACCAGGATAAAGCAAAGGAGCAGCGGCAGCTCCATGTCTCCTGTGCAGTTTACCCTACCTTTGCAGACCTTTCATGAGGAAAAATAAGGATTATAACCACTTTGCAAACATAGCAGGCTCTGGAGGGGATGCCATGTTTGCCTGTCGACCCAAAATTAAACAGGAGCCCAGTGGTTCCTTGAAGACTAAATTTTTTTTTATTCCACCAGGTATCTGAGACACATCTGTCTGTATACAGCAGCTGTATATAGCAAGTATCTGCTTTGGATGTAAACGCAAAAGCTTATGCTGCAATACATTTCGACAGTTTTCAAGATGCCACTGGACTTCTGTTTAATTTTTATAGTATGCTCCGTCCTCTGGAACGAAGTCTTTAAGGTGCCAGAGGGCACGGCTGTTTTGTAAGCCTAAGGTTCTTGTTGTTCAGTTGCACAGTTGAGTCCGACTCTTCGCGACCCCATGGACCAGATCACGCCAGGCCTTCCTGTCTTCCGCCGTCCTCTGAAGTTGGCTCAATTTCATGTTCGTTGCATCGATGACACTAGCCTAAGGTTCTACATAAATGTAAATAAATGAGTAGTAAATTCCTTACCTGATCTTTGTGAACAAATCCCCAGATTCCAGCTGCCACTTCACAAGCAAACAGGATAACAAGGCATGTGAAGAACTGTAGACAAAATAGAGATCAGATAAGAGGAGATTGTAGTGCCGGCAATGTGTCTCGAAAGCATGTGTTGCAGTATGGTGAACTAACAACATGGTATTCGAAAGTGTCAACAGGGGCTTCACAACAGCAGTGTAAATGAAAAGCACACAGATCTATGTGGATCACCCATTCCCAGTGTATAAAATTCACAAAGAATACTCCCTGTGTCTCCATATACCATGACATTGTCTCTGTTCCTTTCCTTGCATCCACAGAGAGCAGGAAGTCACGGGCAAACAGAAGCAGCATAGCAAGTCTTGCCGTGAGGGCACGACAGCAAACAGTTCTTATTCCTACATTCCCATGTGGCTGGAGAACCTTAAAACTAAAAGGCTGTACAGTGCCCTTGTTGGAGATGTACCCCAGGCAGGGGTCATTTCTTGCGGGAGCGCACAGGAGCAGAGCTCCGGCAGTAAGGAGCCCCGCCCCCTGCTCCCAGCAGCCCTCAGTCGGGCCACGAGGAGCAAGAAGCAGCCAGGTAAGTTGCAGAGGCCCCCCCCCTTCCGCCTTCAGGTACAAGCTCTCCCTCCTCTGTAAGGGCATATCTGTGCGTCCCCCCCCCCAATAGCTAGCAATCCAAAACAGTCCAGTGGCACCTTTAAGACCAAGTTTTATTCATGTACAAGCTCTCCCTCCTCTGGGAGGGCATATCTGCGCGTTCCCCCCCCCCCAATAGCTAGCAATCCAAAACAGTCCAGTGGAGCCTGAGCGGTGGGTGTTGCCTTCTGACACACTTCCGGTGATGTCAGGGGGTGTGGCATATGCAAATGAGTTGTGCTAATGAGTTATGCTAATGAGCTCCTGCACCTCTTTTTCTACGGAATGACCCCTGACCCCAGGTATTCATTCTCCTCCTCTGAAGGTACTCTGAAACGGCCTCATACATTTGTCTTAAACGTTCAAGGGTTAATTACAATGAACTGTTAGTGCCAGTGAAATTTTTGGTAAAATACGGAACATGAAAGAGAAAGTGTCCATCCTAGGGGACCTACAATTTAAAATATACAGACTGGGCAGGCATGGGACAGGAGTTAGCGACTCACACATAAAACAGTGGCAACAGAGTGATGGAGAACCAAGACTAGAGGACCAATGAATGCTTTTTGTGTGTGTGCCATCAACTCACAGCCGATTTATGGCAACTCTGCAGGGTTTTCAGGGCATGAGATGTTCAGAGGTGGTTTGCCATTGCTTGCATCTTTGTAGTGACCCTGGTAATTTCTGGTAGTCTCCCATCCAGATACTGACCAGGGGTAAAAAAAGAGGTGCAGGAGCTCACGAGACTCCATAGCTTCGAGAGAGCGTTGGTCACCAATACTGCCAGACTGGCGTTTTACCACCCGTGCTAGGCACGGCTGCTGGCCCTTTTCCTGTCACCCCCTGACCTGGTTACGGTAATCCATACAACTGTCACCTCCAGACTGGGCTACTGTAACTCGCTGTATGCTGGCCTGTCCTTGAGACTGACCCGGAAGCTCCAACTGGTCCAGAATGTGGTGGCGTGAGTCCTGGCAGGAACGCCACAGATAGCTCATATACAACCTGTGCTGCACCAGCTACACTAGTTACCGATGGAGTACCGAGTCAGGTTCGAGGTATTGTGGAGCGGTGGCACAGAGGATTTATCCTCTGGTTAGTAACATCTGAGCTGAACAGTACAGCTGTCAGTTCTAGCCCCGTGCTGGTGTGAGCTACCAGCCTTGTCCCTAGCTCGCCGTCCACCCAGCGGTTCGAAAGCTTCGGCGAGTAGATAAAATGGGTACCACTCCTTAGAGAGGGTGGGCACACCAAAGAACCCCCTGGTGGGGGAGGTGTTAGCCAGTGACCGGAATGCTCAGCTCGCGAGACTGAAAGCCTAAGTAAAAAATCTCTTCGACTCCGAGAAGCCTGTAATGGGCCGTTCCAGCCAGGCGGTGGCAGTGCGGCACTGCAAGACCTGGAGAAGCTGACGTAATCTAGCCAAGCCGAAGTGAATATGCCGACGGAATACGTCTGACCCTGCAGCTGAGCAAACCCTCGCCGACTGTGGATGTGTGTAATTTAAAAGATATATGTTGTCCTCCCTTACCCCCATAAATCATTGTTAGTCCCGCGTGAATGAACAACTGTAAATCGCTCAGACCCAGCAAGCTCTGCAGGATCGAGCGATTACTAAATTGAAAGATGATGATGATGATGATGATTAGTGTTGACTTTTAAGGCCTTGAGCGGTCAGGAACCCACATACCTTCAGGACCACCTCCTCCAATATGTCCCCAGAAGAACACTGAGATCAGCTGATACCAACTTACTGGTGATCCCCAGCCCTAGGGAGGTCCGGCTGTCCTCGACCAAGGCCAGGGCCTTTTTGGTCCTGGCCCTGACCGTGTGGGACTCTCTGTCAAATAACATCAGGGCCCTGTGGGATTTGATGCAATTCTGCAGGGCCCGTAAGGCAGAGATGTTCCGCCAGGCTTTTGGTGGAGGACGGCGACGGTTAAAACTGGCACCCTCCTTTTTTTCTTTTGGCTCCGCCTCCCCTTCCCTGCCTTGCTGTGGAGAGAGCATGGCAGCTGGCAAAAAAAGGCATTGATAGCCATCTGGATTGGTTGTTTTATTAGTGCACTGTAATATTTTATCATGTTGATTGTATTTTATCTGTTTTAATGCTGTAAATCGCCCAGAGCCCGCTTGCAAATAAATAAATAAATAAATAAATGATGATGATGATGATAATGATGATAAAGGCTTGTGTCACTTGTCAGTTACATGATAAGACAGTGGTAACACACCCAGCACCATTACAGCCAGTCGCATTTCCACATTCTGCTTGGGAAACGGTTGCCATTGATATTGTGGGACCTTTTGAGACTGCTCCTATTGAATGTCGTTATGCTATTACGTTAACAGATTACTTCAGCAAATGGCCAGAGATAGCATTTATGTCACAAGCCACGTTTGCTGCTGTGATTAAGTTTTTGACTTTAGTTTTCAGTGGGGAAGGGGATCCTAAAGAGTTGATTTCTGACAATGGTGCCCAATTTACTTCTTTGGAATTTGAAACTCTTCTTGCGGAACGAAATATTATACATAGGAGGTAATTGGCGTATTATCCGCAAGCTAATAGATAAATTGAATGGTTTAGCTTGCAAACAGCTAAATTGGAAGGAAAGGCATGGATTGCTTGTATGACCGATCTTTTCAAGCATATAAGGCAACAAGTCATGCTACAATGCAAAGTTCACTGGCAGAATTATTACATGGTATAGAGATGCATGTTAAGTTAAATGTTACTGGAATCTTAAAGGCAAGGACTGATGTATCGTCAGATTCTGAATTGAGAAAAAGAGTGGTTCAGAAGCAAGAGAAGTGTAAGGCTTATGCAAATAAATGTGGGGGTGATAAGGATGTTAAACCTGAATGTGGTTCTTTTGTTAGGATTTTGTGAAAGGGGGAATGTAAGTTTACTTTGCATAGTAAGATTGTGGAAAGGAAAGGACCATATACTTATAGATTATCAGATGGTCATGTATCGAATGCTTCTTATTTGGAACCTGTGTATTCTAGTGGGAATGAAATGAGTTTTGAATTAGATGATTTCTCTCTGTTACCAGTGACTGAAAATGATATTGGGCCTGTTCATGAGGGGACCAATCTAAGTCATCAGTAGGGACCTTCGGATACTTCTCGAGAGACATTATCACCACCATTATTATCATCCCAAGAAGTACCATCAGCTGTAGCAATGGCGAGGAAAGAAAGAACGAGACAACCACCTGTCTGGATGAAGGACTATGTTATGGGTTGAGAAAAAGGGGAGATGTCTCTCCCCTTTTAAGGGGATTGTATATAGGTGAGGGGAAGGAAGTGCGAGTCATTGCAGCTGTGAGATGTGTTTTGTACTTGTGTTACTGAGAGCAACAAAGACTGATTTGAAGACTAACGACTAACGTGAAGGTATTAATTGCAAGATACAACAGAGAGGCTGTGTGGGATGGAGCAAGTCATGATAATAAGAGAAGAAGGAACTATGGACTCTGCTCTCAAGTATCGTTAGAGGGATTGTTAATGCTTGGGGAACGTTAACAAGAAAATGTCCTCTTACTGTTCCAAGAAGGCACTGCGACTCCTGGATGGCACCATAGCATCCCAGGAAACCCACAAACATCATCACCGCTCCAACAGCAATCAAGATGTAGATCCCTGCAGAGGAGCACAAAAAGAGAGCACATATATCAAAAACAGTCTGATTAGAAACATCTTGTCATGTGGTCAAACAGCCTGGGCTCCCTGTGAAAGTCAGTTTACAGTATCTGATAATAAATACTGGGGGAAGGGGGGAATCCGACTGTGAGCTAAGTGCATAAATATGACCCCTGTCGAATCAAACCAAATGCCCGTCTAGCCCATCATTACTTCTAAAGTAGTTGGCCAAATGCTTCTAACCAGGGTTTTTTTTTAGAAAAAGCCCAGCAGGAACTCATTAGCATAATAGGCCACACCCAACAGCAGACACTCATTAGCATATCCAGCCACACCCATGAGAGCATAGCTCATTAGCATATTAGGCCGCACCCCCGTGTTACCAGAAGTATAGTCATCCAGCCACACCCACCATTTGCTTGTTATTCTATTTACCTTGTTTGTTGTCAAAACCCAGGGCCTTTTTTGTAGCAGGAACTCCTTTGCATGTTAGGCCACACACCCCTAATGTAGCCAATCCTAATGAGTTTCTGCTGTTGGGTGTGGCCTATTATGCTAAAGAGTTCCTGCTGGGCGTGGCCAACTTGGGAGCCAGCCGGAACTCCGTTCCTGTGCGTTCCTGCCCAGAAATAGCCCTGCTTCTAACGACGTGTTGTAAAAGCACCAGTTCTCCCTTGTTCATCTCCAGCACCTGGTTTTCAGAAGATGCTGCCTTTGTACCTGGAAGGTCCACTTAGCTATCATGGCCAGTAGTCACTTGACAGACCGATTTTCCATGATTTTGTCAAACCTTCCTTTAAAGCCATTTAATCAACTTCTGTAGGAGCTGCGGTGGCTCAAGTGGTTAAGACGCTGAACTGCTGGCTGTGGAAGGTCGGTAGTTCAGCAGTTCGAGACCCGCGTGTGCCGCATGATGGAGTGAGCTCCCGTCTCTAGTTCCAGCTCCTGCCAACCTAGCAGCTCGAAAGCAAGGCACCGCAAGTCGATAAATAGGTACCGCTTCGGTGGGAAGGGAACAGCGTTCCGTGCGCCTTGGTGTTTAGTCATGCCGGCCACATGACCACAGAAACGTCTTTGGACAGCGCTGGCTCTTTGGCTTGGAAACGGAGATGAGCACCGCAACCCTAGTGTCGGCCTCGACTGGCTTTCGAGCAAGGGAACCTTTACCTTTACCTAATCCGCTTCTAATGGCACTGAACTGTGCAAGTCAGCCATAAGTTGTATTTGGAGAAGGGGAAAATTCCTTGAGCGTTTTAAAAGCAAAGACTTTATATACTTTCTTGTTTGATCACAGTTGAACAGAACAGGCTCATCATTAGTTAAGAAACAAACAGGAGCTGGAGCAGGCCTCTCTGCAGTGTCCTTCAGTTTCAGCGTGTTATTATTAGCCGTCTCCCTCCTCTTCAATGGCGGTATTATTTGGTAGTGCATTTAAGGCTTTATTTTGATGGCTGTAGAATAATGAGTTCCCTATTGTGGGCTAAGTTTTATTGTTCTCTCAGGACAATGAGAAACTTGAGGCAGGATTTGAAAAAGGAATGAACAACAGTAGTGTTTTATTTTTCTTTCTGGAATGGGTCAAACGTTTGAGTAACCACAAACACAGAGGACAGGTTACAAAACAAAGCAGTAATACCACCCTGACAGAGGTAAATATTTTCTTCTTCACAGGTTACGGTGTCAGAAAAAGACAGGTTGCTTACCTGTAACTGGTGATCTTCGAGTGGTCATCTGTGCATTCACACCACCCGCCCTCCTTCCCCTCTGCTCTCGGCCCTTCATCTTGTTTCTTTGAAGGCTGTTGGGCGGCGGTCAGAAGGAACTGGCGGGATCTGCGTGCCCCTCCTTGGTCATGCGCAGTGGAGCCGGCGCGTGACCTGGGAGAGGCGCGAAAATCCCTTTTGCTAGCTATCGGTACCGAGAAGGTCAGCGCAGGCGCAGAGTATCCCAAGGGTGTGATGCACAGAGACCACGAAGAAGATCTTTATATACCATTTAACCCAATAGCTCAGAGACTTTAAGTCATATTTCATCACTGAATGATGATTTTTCAGTCAGGAATCCGTCAGAGACTTCCTATTTCTGTGAGACTCCCACAGCTTTGATGGTTTCCAATCAGTGTCCCTGTGTCCTAAGGACTGACTTGAACCGGAGTCAACACCAGTATAACCCAGGGGTTCTAAGCTATCCAATCCGCTCCACTCTTGAGATGGACTTGCGACAGACTACATTTAAAATGCTGTTTTCCTAATGCAGCAAAATCAGAGAAGGGAGGTGAATAGTTAACGCTGCTGTAGAATGTTGAGCTTGAGTGACAGGCTGTTCCTTTCCTCTGATTGGCCTGCACCCGCTGAGGGAAATATAAAATCAACTGTGTGCTGAGGGGAGAGTTAGTCCATTTGGAGTTCAGTAAAGTAAAAGTTCAGCTAAAAGAGTGGGTATCTGAAGGGTCTGACTAAAAAAACCTGTCAGAGAGATTCACTTTTTAAATAAAGGGAGACACTCCTGGTCTTAGCCATGGTGAACATAAATACTGAGGAACAATTCCATCTAAGAATTCAGAGTCTAGTGTCAGTTTAAGCTGAAGTACGTTTTCACACAGACACCCAAGAACTGGAGTTTGAGATTTTGGCAAAGAGTGACTGGGTAGCAGGCTGAAGCTCCCAAACAGGCCAAAAGGAATTGGATTATATTTTCAGGGAAGAAAGACAAGTCCCATCCAGTTATATAGAGAATTGGGACTGAGGCAGTCCTTGGTCCGTTGTGAAAGGAAACGGTTATATACTCAGGGGAAAGAAGACACATTGTGATTTCAGAAAAAGGGGAAAGAACTTGATACACTAAAAGAGTGACCTTTCCAAAAGACCATTACAATTTTGCAGTCCCACCGACAATGAATAAACGAGCCCCCAGCCCCACATTTCCTCCAGCAGAGTGGTGAGTGTGATGCTAAAATACGATGTAACTTTCTGGGTGTAGTGTACCACCTCATCAGAAGTTTGCAACCCTGGAGGCATATGTTTAAGGATATGGAGGAGAGAGTCTGCAACAACCATATCTTGGCCCAGTCTTTTTTTGTTAGTTGAACAGTACTTCTGTATCAAAGGAATTACTGGCTATGACGTTGACAAGTTAATGACTTAGTTCTGTTGGACCTATGGAAAGACAATCGCATACCTTGGATCCGTCAGGAGCTTACCTCCCTCCTCTTGACATCAGCCAAAACTCTAATAGCTGCCAGTTGGAAAGACTCATTCCCAATTTCTACCACGCGCTGGTTTGTTAAACTTTGGGAACTATTTGCAACGGATAAAATATCGGATTCTATTGAGACTGCAGAAGGTACTAACACTAATTCAGTTCTGCTAACCAAATGGGCTCCATTTTTAGAGTATGTTCAAGAGAACTATTCAAATCAATTGAAACATATACCATCGAAATATCGTGAAATCATCACTTGCTTATAATTTATGATAGTGATAATTGTGTTACTCTTTTACTGTAATTCTATGACTCTTTATCTTGATGTTCGTGAAATGCTTCCCTGTGTTCTGGGACTAGTTTGATATATTAGCATAGTTAACCTGTTAATTTATGTTTTGTATTTGTATTTAATGAATAAAAGGAGCTGCGGTGGCTCAAGTGGTTAAGACGCTGAACTGCAGGCTGTGGAAGGTCGGTAGTTCAGCGGTTCGAGACCCGAGTATGCCGCATGACGGAGTCTATCACGACTGATTAAATATGTAGCAGTCGGAGATTGTGGGGTGTGTTCTACGTCACACCCTGAGCTCAAAAGGGGCAACAGAGAGATCCAACAATCCTGGCCATGGCTTCAAGTGAACTGTGCACCAAAAAAGTCATGTGTATCTCAAAACATGCTCCAGAACCCCCTGCAATGTGCTGAGAGTCCTTGCTTGATGTCAGAGGGCTCTTTGGCAGATTAGTTGAAATGAAGGCAGAAGGCATATATTACGGGCAGGAGGCTGTCTTGCCCCGAAGGGAAAAACAGCCACTCAGCTTGAGCCTATGAGAGGGCTGCTCTGGCATCCAATCACCATTCGGGGGGGGGGGATGGAATGTTGGAGTTAGTTCAGGTCTGCCTTAGGGAGAGTGCAAGGATAATTTTGTGTCTGCCTGTCTATGGTAATGAGCGAATTGTACCATTTAGTCTGACTCTTGGGAAAGGGCAGGCTGGTGTGGGTGGGATCCTGTGTGTGTGTAAGAATCCACCCTAGTGGCTAGGCAGTAAAAGCCTGTTTGTACCTAAAAGCATTAAAAACAAATATTTCAAATCACACTTGGAAGCCATAACCAGCTTAAACTTCTGCATCTCAGGCAGGCTTCTCCTTTGACTATCTTGGAGACCTGTGCTGCTGATCTGCTCTTTGAAACCAACCTGTAAATAAATAAATCTTCATTATTTATATACAACTGCTGCCTCAGTGATCTCCATTTTCAGCTTGCTCACCACAAAACTTATGGCAGTGAACCCAAAACCTTTACACTTGGTACCTTAAGAACATCTGCTGACTGAGGGGAAGACTTACAGTTTAAAACAAATCTGGTCCTCCCCAAATCATAGGAGGCTGTGTGGGTCACCTCAGTTGGCAGAAAATGGCTGTCACAAATTGGTGGCAGTGGTGGGATTCAAATCTACACCTCCAGAGAGACTGAGGCCTATGGGAATGCTAAGAGGCTATTTTCCCCTTCAGGGACAGGACCACATGAACAATCAGTTATACTTAACCTTGGCTCCACCATAGCATTTGCACAGTTGGAAGGGCTTCTACCATGTAAGTGCTCTGGTGGATTCAACCCATTATCAGGAAGAGCCACCATGCATGACAAACAAAAATTTAATATTTATCAAACCTGCTGGTATTGTATTGATATTGGTTTGTAACTAACTAATCAAAAGACATTATAGTTAACTATGGCAGGAAAGGGATTAATATACTTTGGCCCCTGCCACACGGGGGGGGGAGTACGGCCAAAGTGCG